TTAACATAGTCTCACTCTGTTGCCCAGGCTGGAGTGTGGTGGCATGGTCTTAGCTCACTGCAACCTCTGCCTCCTAGGTTCTAGCGATTCTTCTGCCTCAGCCTCCCGAGTAGCTAGGACTACAGGTGCGCACCATCACGCCCAGCTAATTTTTGTGTTTTTAGTAGAGACAGAGTTTCACCATATTGGCCAGGCTGGTCTCGAGCTCCTGACCTCATGATCTGCCTGCCTCAGCCTCCCAAAGTGCTAGGATTACTAATTTGATTGATTTATGGGTGGTCACCAAACAGAAACTGGGCCAATGATCTCCTTTGGGATTTTTAAAGTTGAAAATAGAAAAAAGAGAATTCCACTTTCATCTATGAAGCATTGGCTGCCATGGGAATTGTCCTCCCATTGTGACCAACTAGAAGAACAGGATAAAAAAAAAGAAGCAACTGTTTCTAAGCATTGAACAACAGATAGCACTCGACTGTGATAACTAAAAGAAGAGAAACAAATGAAGTGTTTTACAATTGTCTGAGCTTACTATGTCAAAGCAGTTTCCAGGAATCACTGTAGGGATGGAGAACCCAAACAGAGCCCAGAAATTTCACAGAATACAGGAGACAGATCAGAGTCCAGGGAAGCCAAAGTGGCTAGAATTTGTGAAGCAGAATGTAAGAGTGGAGGGAGATGATTAGAGAGAGAACAGCAGAGGTCTGCAGAGCAGTCACTTCAACTCATTAGCTGAATACTGTCCTGAGGATGCCTGGGTGAAATTCTATGAGGCCATGGAAAGAACTACCAGAAAGCAATATGCCAAACAATTCCTGGAGCTCACACAGGGCTGGGCGTAATTTGTCTTCATACCAGCCAAAACAGAGATCTTTTATACACAAAGCACTGGCTACAGTCCACAGAGGGGTATCATCTTAATGAGGCAGGGGAGGCTAAATTAGCCTTAAAATAAACACTTATCTGGACCTGCCTTAACAAAACTTAAAGGCAATCCTCAAAAGGATCAAACTGATCTCAAGTAACTTAACTGTGCTCGCAGAAAAAAAGTCCAAAATTAGTTACAAAACAAACAACAAAACCCAACGCTCAGTAACGTAAAATTTACAATGTCCAACATGCAAACAAAAATTATCAGGCATGCAAAGAACATGACTTGTAAGGAGGCTGAAAAATCAACCAATAGAGAGTGGCTTGAGGTATCGGCAGGAGCAGCCAGGTGGCAGTAGGCACTGTTACGGGAACTGAAGCTGTCGATTAAGCCTGATCAAGATGACAACCTCCCAAAAGCACCAAGACTTCGTGTCAGAGCCCATGGGGGAAAAGCCAGTGTGGAGCCTGGCTGGGATTGGTGAAGTCCTGGGCAAGAAGCTGGAGGAAAGGGGCTTTGACAAGACCTATGTTGTCCTTGGCCAGTTTTTGGTGCTAAAGAAAGATGAAGACCTCTTCTGCGAATGGCTGAAGGACACTTGTGGCGCCAACGCCAAGCAGTCTTTGGATGCCTTCGAGAGTGGTGCGACGCCTTCTTGTGATGCTCTCTGGGAAGCTCTCAATCCCCAGCCCTCATCCAGAGTTTGCAGCAGAGTAGGGACTCCTCCCCTGTCCGCTGCAAAGGAAAAGATTGCTATTGTCGTACCCGCCTCCGACATACTCCACGGTCTTTGGAAGTTTTCTCCCCTAACCATTTCAACTTTTTTGGATTCTTGCTCTTGCATGCCTCCCTCTTCCTTTTTCCCTTGCCAGTTCCCTGGTGACAGTTACTGGCTTTCCTGAATGGATTCCTGGCCCTATCCCTCACCCCCACCCTCACTTTCAGTCCGTTTGATACCATTT